TGTTGGCTGCTGTCTATCAATCAAGGATCAGGTGGCACAAGAACAGGAATTAGACCCTGCCTGGCGGAGGAGGTTGTGGAAGGTCCAGGTGTGGCTGGACCCGGTGGGCAAGGTAAGAAAAAAAAGAAAAACAGAAACAAACAACAGTAAAAAAAGAAAGACATGCATGGGAAAACAAGCAAACAACAACAAGAATTTTTTAGTTTAATAACTAAAAAAACTCGAGGAAAATAAAAAAGCAAGGGAACAGAAAAATAAAACAGAATAAAAATATAATATACAAAAATAGAGAGGTGGAAGTAACAACAAGGAGAAAATAGGCTAATAAAGAAAAATTGAGTGAAAGGAAAAGAAAAAAAGGAGAAACAGAAGAAAAACAGAGCTTTAAGTGCATTAAAGGATTACCATTATTAATATGACTGTATTATTAGGTTGATAACTTAGTGTTTCTAGAAGTGTTTCTCTATTTTTTTTATACATAAAAGAGTACACTATATCCTATGACCAACTTTTCACTAAATGGTCTTAGATACAAACCATAATTAACTATTCTGATTTATATACAAATCTGACTTGAAGACAATTCAGCAACTTGTTCATAATCCAGGAACTGCCTATGTATTAGTTCTTTCCTGATATAAAATTCTGAAGTGAGTATTATCAATGACCAGGTATCATATTTCAATCAATCTTAGTGACATTGATGAATTATTAAAAATATCGATAAAAAATTTGATCATCTATAACTAAACATACACTGTAATATATAGAGGTGCAAAGTAAATGATAGAAAATATTATAGCTATGGTGTTGAAAATGTGAAAAAGAAAACATTTTAGAAAAACGGTTTATCTGCGCTGGTGAGGAAAAGGTCATAGATGAAGTGAGCTAACAGTTCATTTTCAGTTTTACTAACTTTAAAATGTGAAAGACTTTGACTAATAACATCTTTATTTAAAACTTTTACGACTTTTAAATTTATTATAAACATTTACATTATATGTTGATCAAATGAAATAATCATTATTGGTTTTTAGGAAATATTGTGAAAATATTACAAAGTGAAGAAAACAAACAAAAATAAATCATGTAAATTTGAAAGCAAGATGATATATACTAAAACAAAAAAGCCTATGATCCTATAAAACTACTAAAACACCAACCACTTGGTGGTGAGCCAAGCGCTTACCCGGGGCTGTGCCACCAGGGCTCCTTCAAGATTATACTGTTACTATTTATTCTGAATTTATGACTTCCACAATGAAAACCAATAGAAGAATCTTGAGTGCTTAATAACATGAAAGAAAAGTGGCTAATTAAAACTTTTTATGTTTATTTTAAATTAAATGTTGAACAAGCTATTAAATATATCATAGGCATTTTAAAATATGTTTATTTAACTTGGCAAACAGAATATATGCATTTCTTGATTTTGGCAAGTAAAAGACATGAAGTAAGAGTGATTTGGTTTAGCCAGCAACTTGAGAGTTATTTGAAGCACTGTAGTCTATGTAATTTGGAGTCTGGGCTCAGTAAGTCTAAAATAATTTAAGATACTAAAATCTATAATTTATATAGATATCCTATAAAGATATATTAGAAACCACAATCATAGTCATCCACATTTTAGATTCTTGTTTTTCTTAGTTGGGATTTAATACATTTATCATATCATTCCACTATCAGTTTCCAAATTTTTTTTTCTACATAGACTCCTTGACTTCATCTCCCTTTTACCCCACCTCCACCACTGCACTCCCTGGACCCCTTATTCTACTTAGTGTCCCTATAGGTCCATGGAATCTCGGTTTCATGTACTGAAAAACAGGAAAGCATAGAGCACAGCTTCAAGAGGGGGACCTCCACTGACACCCCAGCTCTGAGATACACTCCTATATGAACAAACAAAAGCTGAAGAAAACAATACAGACCGGAAATACAGAAAAATTTGGAAGCCAGATCTGTCCAGCCCACATCATAGGGCAGAGGTTCTCAACCTGTGGGTCGTGACCTTTGGGGGTCAAATGACCCTTTCACAGGGGTCACCCAATTCATAACAGTAGCAAAATTACAGTTATCAAGTAGCAACAAAACTAATATTATGGTTGGGGGGAGGGGGGGCCACCAAAACATGAGGAACTGTATTAAAGGGTTGCAGCATTAGGAAGGTTGAGAACCACCATTAGGGGGATCTACTGACAAAGTTTTAACTGTTCAGGTCATATTTATGCATGTGATCTTCTATACTCCTCTCTCCCAAGCACTCTGTTTAGTAACCACATCACATTTCAGATTCTTAAATGTTTTACATTCCTAATTACAGCATAATGTATATAGTTTTTTCCCCTGGTTCTAAGTACTTAAAGACTGATGATTCCCCAATTCTAATCTCTAGCTTTATTGATCTCTAATCTGTAGCTTTATGATTCCTCTAGACTTATCCTAATCTCCAACTGCTCAGGGAACAAGCCTCTACAGTACCTTTAAACTTTCTATGTCCAAAAGAGATTCAAGTCATCCAAAGAAACCAGCTAAATTCTACTCTACCCTTCTCCTTCCCTCCATATTTAATCAGTTGCTAAGTTTAAATATGACAATTCTATATCCAACATATATACTGAATCAAACTTCTTTCTCTCACTCCATGGTCAGTGCTTTAATTCAGGTCCTCATTATTATTATTTTGTCTAGTTTATTGCAGTGGTTTGATAACTGGCTTCTAGTTTCCCTTCACCACCATTGCAATTCCATTGGAGCAGCAGAAAAAACAAATCCCCCTGCGTTGTTTTTATAACTCTCATTTCCAGGATTTAGAAAACCTTTATCATGTACCATTTGCTTCCTTTTATACCTAATCCCTACATGCTTTTTTATTTACTGAAAACTGTCCTTTGCACATGCTGGTTCTTCTTGAAAGATAATTCACTAATTCTGTTATTTAAGAAAAAGCGAGACGTCGGACAGTGTAAGATATGACAAAATAATAATAATTTATAAATTATCAAGGGTTCGTAAGGGAGTGGGGAGTCGGGAGGGAGGGGGAAAATGAGAGCTGATACCAAGGGCTCAAGCAGAAAGCAAATGTTTTGAGAATGATGAGGGCAACAAATGTACAAATGTGTTTGACACAACGGTTGTATGTATGGATTGTGATAAGAGTTGTATGAGCCCCCAATACATTGATTAAAAAAAGAGAAAAGAAAAGGCTTATTGTCTGGTATATCCTAGACACCGTGTAGACTTTTAAAGATGTAATGAGTTAAAAGTCATGATCGTTTTTAGCTTTAATAAAGATCTCACCATGAACTTGCCATTATATTTCCCTTGTTTCAGTTTGAATGTAGCAAGTTTAAGATGACTTAGGATGACTGGATAAACTCCTAAGTCTTTCTTGTTTTGGAATGTTTCTCAGCACTCCCATCCTCTGCTGTGCACACTTGCTTCCGTGAGCATACTTCTGTGGTAGCATTCTCTCATAGTATCCCAGCTCTTGGCTTCTCTGAGCTTTCCCGAGTAGATGGAAAGCTTCTGGAGACCAAGGACGTTTTATGCCCCAGAGTCTATGTCTCATGCCTTACATCATCCATACACTTCACGCTGCCTAGAATGCATGTCACGTGATTACAGTGCACAGTACAATACAGGACATACATTCTTATATGCTGATTCTTCAGCCCATTAACTAATATTTCTTAAATGAAAACATCTATACTAAAAAATCAGTTTTGTTTCATTACTTTGTAGTACTCATTTGCTATAAAAAGTTCCGTGTATAGTTTCTTTATTTAAAGCAAAATTGTCTATACAAATTTGTATTATTCTTATAAGATTTGTATTTTTCTAATATTAAAGCAATGCATAATAATTAAGGAGAATTTGGAATATATGGAAATATACAAGAATATAAAATAAATTATAAAATGATCATTTAAGGATGATCATGCTAAAAATTTGAAGTGGTTTTTTTTATATGCCATTGCGTTCTTAAAACAAAACAGTTATTTATAATGTATCTATTTTTGATTTTTGCATGTAACATAATACCATGAATCTGTTATCATGTCATTTATCATTTAAAGTGTTTAACCCTGTATATTATCCTCATTTGGCAATATCACAATTTATTTCACACTTGTCCTCTGTGTAGGCAAGTGGAAGGAGTCTTGTTGGCACAACAGCTAAACGCTCAGCTGTTTACTATATATTTTTCACACATTATTTATAATAATGTCATATTAGTATTAATTGTTGTGTGCCATTAAGTTTTATTTCTATAGGATAGACACTTAGAATGGAAAATACTGGGTCAGAAGCATAAACTTTCAAAGGCTCTAGAAACATATAACATAGCTTTACAGAAAACGTGTACATAATCACATTTGTTTCTCTAGCAATGTCAATTTCAGAAGACATTGCTTATTCCTAAAAAAGTCATCTTCCTATAGGATGAGGATTTACATGCATTTTTTCTACCAGTTTAAGAAAGAGTTGCTGACATACAAAGGTGGCTTAAGTTGAAGTAATGACTTTTAGCGATATGGCAACATGGTCACATTCTTTTTTTTGTTTGTTTTTTTGTTTCTCAACTAACCCATGAAGTAGTACTGTTATCTTTAATAAAGCTAGGGAAATTGAAGTTCAGAGAAGTTAATATTAAAACAGCCCATTTATCAAAGAGCTTTCTGAATTTCCATTCAAACCCCTTTTAAATTTGGTTGAGAGAACGTGGATTAGGAACTGGTAAATGAATAGCTACGTTACTTTCACTCTATGTTCTTTCTAGTAGTCGACTGAGAACCAGAGAGTTCTAATTCCTGAGCCACTGGGTTTTCTCTTTATCCAAAGAATATCCACATTAAGATCTGGCACGATCATTCATCTCTAACGGCTACACAATTTAAGGAGGATGAGTGAACCTACAAGTAGTCTTTGAGATGGTAAGTCGCCCAAGAGAGCTAGCATATTATATCTCGTCTGGATAAAAACTGACATAGTCCTACCTTAACTATTAATCCTTTTGAGTCAACCAACCATATCTTTTTGGTGGCTTTCTCTCTCGATAAACCTTCTTTTTCCATGGCCATAACAATCAGGTGTGCAATTCCCAAGGCGGCCTAAAGAGAGGTTATGAAGACAAAAATATTAAAAAGTTGTTGCACAAGAGTTACGTTTCACTCCCACTTGTCTCTGTTAGTAAGGATACAAAATGACTCTGTTGAGCTCAAAAGAGCGGGGCTCATTCATGCATTCTAGAAGGTAAGTTTTTGCTACTGTTTTCATATTTAGGTTAAACCAAATGGAAATTATTTACACTCCTATTTTTAGAGGAACATTTCTATGTGGTTTGCTATTTATGCACACATAAGCCCCTCAGTGGTCAGTGTATTTAATTTCTGATAATACAATAAATATTTGTTGAAACAAGAAAATACTGAACCTAAAATAATGAGATGTTCAAACTTGCTCATGGAATTTTTGTGTTTACTGTTGTTCAATTAAAGCTCCTCTGCTTGATTTGAAGAGTGAAATCTGCTCCTTGGGGTGAGAACTTGGCCAATTAGACAATAAACTAGAACTGACATAAGACCTGCTTTCTAAGCAATTACTCTCTTGCTTGCCTTTAACAAAGAAAATACTGTAAAAAATCTTGCAAGATGAAAGGAATTAACTTCTTTTGTCTTTAATCAATCTTATGATAATCTGAAAATTTTCTGAAACCCTTTTCAGGGAAAAACAAGTGCTAATTTTTAACCACCCAGCCATTAAAGCTCTGCCTTGATGATTCTCAAGGATTAGACAGTTAGAAAATGAAAGAAGAATCTTATTAAAATTAAATATGGCAATGTAATAATTCACAGAAATTAAAAATGTAAAACTCAAATTTTAATAAGTTGGCATTTATCCTTCATTCTTTCTGTATTTTAATGTGAAAATGCAATGTATTTGTGATTTACATTTTGGCACCTTAGCACGTTAAGTTCTAATTTTGTGTACTTTTTTCAGTTAAGAACATACAAAATAAAAACCACACAGTACACATAAATTCATGCCAGTGTAATACACTGTTTAATTCATAAACATATAAAGTTTGAAATTTTAAAGCTTTCTTAAAATGTATATAGTCAGACTACTTTTCTATTTACTCTAGATTCTATATTCTAAACAGATTTTGGCAGTTCTCCCAGAAGAAACTCAAGCTCAGTTGATATTTTAAGTTCTATTTGGGATGAGTTATTATTATTTCAGTTTCTTTTAAAAAATATGATAAAATTATAGAAAATCATAACAGAATATTGCATAACTTAATTTTGCTATTGTACCCTCCCAATAATTTAAGATATTTTGGTTCTTTTGCATGTGAACAGTTATAATGTACTACGTGTTTCTTCTTTAGTTCAACATTTGTACATGTCACATTGAATTGTGAGTTAAATAAGTTTTGCATGAAAAACTGGAGGATACTAAAGCTCAGCATCAGATACAGTAGTTTAAATAGTCATAGTCCTCATATATAATTATAGAATGTAAATTTATGCTTGCTGTATTTAAGTACCTTAAATATGAGTAACAAAAACCTACGGCAACACATGAAAAAGCTAAAAATTTAAAACTTGTAAAATCATCTTCACTAAAGTCTCTTACCAAAAATGAACATGTTTCAATACCTGATTTAATAATCTTTTAATACAGCCAATTATCCTGATATCTGAAAGAATTTGAAATCTGAAAGAAAATCTTAATCCTCAGGTTAATGAGTAAGTAATTAAAAATAAATTTTATGTTTGTTAGTTTGGGAAGACATAAATATTACATAATCTAGGTACCTCTCCTGCTCCTTGGAACAGTATTGTTTGATCAGACAATTTGTTCTTGGTTATTCGGAGAGCTGCAAGGAGACCCGCAACTGCAACAGATGCTGTTCCTGAAACAAGTAACAGATACCTTTCAGTGATCCTCCAAGAATCTCTGGCAAAGTTTGAACCTCAATTATTTATTCACATCTTGAAACAATGAAGCAACCGGTTATCTGGTATAGAAAGAGAACTTGCAGTTACATGATCCAAGTTTCCATATGAAGTGAAATTCTCAGGCTACTGTCATCAATATTTTATGATAGTACTTTTTAAAAATCATTTTATTGGGGGCTCAAACCACTCTTATCATAATCCATATATGATAGTACTTTAATCCTTATTCTTTAAAGCTTTCAATAAATATAAGATTCTGTGGCTTATTTTGGAGATGCAATGAAGAGCTTGGGGTTTAGATTCTTATTCAGATTCCAGTTGAACTTGTTTCCTACCTGATAAATTCACAGATTTTTTTTTCTCATTGATAAATATTCCTCAAAGTTTGAAATTTACTATTAGGAATTATAAGTTTCCTATCTCTGGGGTAGAAAGCATGATGATATACACAGTCCATTAACAGATGGACTAAAATTCTTTCACTCATTCAGCAAGTATTACACCATTCAAAGTGCTGTCAAATTGGCAGTAAATAAAGCAGCTCAAACCCTTGATTTCATGAAAGTTTACTAGGGAAAAATCCCTAAAGAATACAAAAGCTAGCAGAACAGGAAATCACTATCAGATAATACAGCTTTTTCGGTGGCAAAGCAACATTAGTAAAATGTCTGTTTCACTCTACTGGCTATTTCTGGATAAAGGATGGAGTTCAAACCTGTAACGGGATTTGACATGTAAACACTCTTCTAAGATTGTGAATCTGACTTTGATCCTTAAAGCTCCTGCAAACTACCCTGTAATCCCTTCAAAGAAAAGACAAGGAAGTATGTACACACTTAAGATTGGCCTGCCTGATGTCTTGCTTCCCAGGACTCTCACAGGACACGGTTCACTATAAACATAATTCATATTAGGCCCACAATGGGCCCTTTTGTATCTTATACAATGTAGCACTCAAATAAGTGTAGCTACTACTCTCCCCTCCCTTGCTAACACACATTCCCTTGACTTCCTTTTCTTTGCTTTTCCCCATGCTAAAAGGCAAGGATGTTAAGACTTCGTCTTGCATACTTAGGACATACTGTCAGGAGAGACCAGTCCCTGGAGGAGGACATCATGCCTGGTAAAGTAGAGGGGCAGCGAAAAAGAGGAAGGGCCTCAACGAGATGGACACAGTGACTGCATCAATGAACTAAGGTAGAGGAGCAATTGTGAGGATGGTGCCGGACCGGGCAGGGCTTTGTTCTGTTATACATAGGCTCAGAATGATTATGGGTTGGAACTAACTTGATGGCATCTAACAACAATGTTATTTTTCTTTCTATTTCCCTATGTTTTACTTAAAGAGCACTGCTGTGCCATAGTTAAGTGCTCAGCTGCTAGTGATAGGTTTGTGGTTCAAACCCACTATCTGCTCTTTGGGAGAAAGACTTGGCAATTTGTTCTCATGAACATTATAACCTAGAACCCTATGGAGAACTTCCACCTTGTGTGACAGAGTCACTATGAGGAGGTATCAACTGAATAGCATATTAACAACAGGAGTACACATTAGCACAAATGACAATGTCTCTGCCCCATTGATTTTAAAGTGGTTCTCCTTATTTTAGTTATGTTAATTCTGATATTCCAGACAAAATATTTAAACATCAATAAAATTAGATGGCATGAATGCTTATATGCATACACATTAAGATGATAATTTTGTCCATAGCTTCACTAAATATTTACTCAGTGTTGGCGGGCTAGGTGTTGGGCTGCTAACAACACAGCTGGTGGTCCGAAGCCAGCAGAGACTCTGTGGAACAAAAATGAGGCTGTCTGCTCCCATAGAGACTGACAGTCCCAGAAACCCAATAGAGGGCCACTATGAGTCAAAATTGGCCCAATGACAGTGGTTTTAATTTGGGTTATTTACTTTGGAACCACAACAATATTTTAAGTATTCTAGGTATAACAATATGCTATAGTTTCATGACTCAATGAGCTCACAGTTTAGCCTAAGACACAAATAATAAAACAAGTAATGACAATAGACATCACAATTATGATGGAGGAACTGATATATTTTCATATTTAGTTTAATAGCCCCTACACCTCATCCAGCACTAGACTAACTTGAGAGGTTGGCAATTCAAACTCACCCAGAGGGGCCTCAAAAGAAAAAGCTTACCACTTGCTTCTAAAAAATTACTGCCTTGAAAATCCTATGGAACTCACTTGAACTCCGCCACACATGAAAATGCCATGAGTCACACTGACTCGTTGGTTTTGTTTTTTATACCTAGCACTAATATGGCTTTTGTAAAAAGTAGGAACTAAGAATATTTGTCACACACTTTAGCATTTTATTAACATCAAGTACTTATTATGGAAGAAGCCTGGTGGTACCAGAGTAAGTGTTCATATTTCTAGCCACCTAGGGTCTCAGCAAGAGAACTGCTGTGAAACACTCTAGGGCAGTTCTGCAATGACTCAGTATCACAACACACACACACAAACACACGTGATCTTTTTATACGCTAAAAGCACTTCATATTCTATAATGTCATATGTATGTGTGTCTGTATATAGGTATACATGTGAGGCATTATACTAAGTGCTTTACATGATCCCACAACACCCTTAGGAGATAAATCAAGTTTTTATTTTATGTCCCAATTTACAACTGAGGAAGATGAAATTTCTCAGTGCCACAGACTATCAAAATTGACAAGCCAGATCTTGAACTCAGGCATCATTAGTCTAGACTATATGTATTTTAAGTACTATATATATATTTTTAAATCATTTTATTGGGGGCTTTTACAACTCTTGTTACAAACCACACATCAATTGTATCCGACATACTCATACATATATTCCATCGTTCTTTTCTAGACATTTACTTTCCATGGCACCCTTGGGATCAGCTCCTCCTTTTTCCCCACTCTTCCCCCTCCCCAACCTTCGTGGCCCCCTGATGGATTGTAGATTGTTAGTTATTTTCAAACTACTATATTTGTATTATCTTTAGATATTATAACTACTATAACAAACTATCTACCAATTACTCTTCATTAAAACTTATTTAAGTCATGTCACAAATATCTATCTACATAATTATGAGATACAGAGTGTTCAGGAAGGGGTTATATGTGCTCCACTGTGTCATTATAGATTTAACCCCTAGAATAACTAATGTACACGTAAACCAGGCACATAATAAATGCCTGCTAATAATGGTATTAGTGGTAATGGCATTTTTAATAATATATGTTGAATTAGAAAGATATGAGAGTTGATAGCAACTAGAACCAGATATTATAAATTCTGTAATTGACTCTATCTGAATGATCATCTTTAGTGGATCCCAAAAGTACTGAACAAAATTTAATGTGCGTTTTATCTAGGATGAAAATTGTGTGTGTTTTCACCATGCCTCACCAGGCAGAGAAATGTGACTAGTCTAACTGGATTATTGTGCTATATAAGCATTCATGATCACAGAGCGGTTCTGTGGCTTTCAACATAATTACACAGCCCAACTCCTTTATTGCTCACGCCTGAAAAAAACCTTGTAGCTGCTGGCAGGGATGTCCAGCTATATCCACAGTTGGGTAGCTGATTACTCCTCTAAAGTAACAGTCTACCTATAATGTATCCTAGAACAGGCAGCTGGGGAGTGAGCTAGCTAACTTTAAACACTCTTGCCTGATCTAAAATGGAAAAGAAAACAGAATAGGTTTGGTGAGTGACCTCATGATGAACTGTTTCAGATGCCAAGCACCAACAACATTTAACATTTCACCACCAGTGTATTTGTTCTTTTCAATCTTTAGTGTTATTTTTTTAATGTAAGATTTTGTTGTCATAAATAAGGTCACAAAAATATAATTGTTGAAGATCTTCTGTGTGTCTCTTTAATTGTTTAGCATCAGGAGCATATGTGGATTACAAAAATGAAAAGCGTACAATTTTGAGAGCCATCAATATAAGTTATGTACTACATTAAGTCATATTTATACAAATGCAACTCTTTTATGAGTTAGTTAAATTAAAAGCTATGCCAAAATATGGTTAATCTATGTAATGAAAATATTATAAGAGGATTAGAATAGCTGTCTGGCAAATCAAAAGAAATTCACCAGAGTTGAACATTTAAATTGGAAAAGAAGTATAAGTTAGTGGTAAGTTAGTGGTTCACAAAGTGTATTTCAAGGTATGTACAGTTATTTTGAATTAAACTGGCTAGAAGGATGGAATTGTGGAACTCTTCAGTTCCAGTGCAATGGTTATAGCCTCAACTGCTTACCATCAAAAGTGGATGACTCGAACCCACCAGTTGTTCCCTGGGAGAGAAGACCTGGGGTTTGCTCCTGTCGAGACCATGCCTTAGATTCTATTCTGCCACAGTTTCAGAATGAGTCAGAATCGACTTCACCACACTGAACAATAAAGTTCCTATTAAACTCTTAGTCTATGATTTACGATCGTCTTCAGATGCTATCAAAATCACAAGCACTCACCAGCTCAAGTGTTGGAAAGGAAGTATCTTCAGTTACTATGGAATGAATTACATAGCATAGCTTGTTAATGAGACCTCTTCCAATCTTGATGCTGTGTTTTCCTTCATATCATCCCAAAATGATATGCTGTAAAGTCTCACCCTTTTATGGGGGATGTGATCCTTGTATGGGATATGAATTTCTCTGTTATTCAACAAAGGCAGGTCACTATTGCTATTATTTAGGTGCCTCTAAGTGGATGCTGACTCATGTTGTTGCTAGTTGTTGTCAAGTAAGCTCCAACTCCAGCGAGCCTCTGGACAACAGGATGAAGCACGGTGCAGTCCTGCACCGCTCTCACAATTGTTGCTAGGCTAGAGCCCACTGTTGCAGCCACTGTGTCAGCCCATCTGGATGAGGGTCTTGTTTTGCACTAACCCTCTGCTTTACCAAGCATGGTGACTTTT